GGATCATTGATACATTGATCCATCCTCATCTAGGAAATTTAGAGACAGATTTACATTTAAACAGTTCTTGTATGAATTTTTGTCAGACTTTATCTTCAGACATTTGGTGAATAGGTTTTAATGTGAGTTTGAGTAAAGCACTGATGAATCTGCCTCTATGAATGAGAATCTGCAGGGAGGTACGCAGTCTCCTGATGGTTACACATAGGCCTGCGCCTTACACATTATTTATTCACCGATGTCTCCAAATCTACCACTCAGATTCCACCATCCTAAATTCCACTCCTGTCTATCCAACTGCCTCCTTAGTAGATCCACTTAATATTTCAACCTCAATACATCAAAAAGTAGACTCCTGATTTCTTCCCTGAAATTGCTTCCTTGCATCTTCTGCTGACTCAACTTATGGCTGTGTTCTTCTTTCTATTGCTCAGGCTCTTACACCCACATCCAATCCATCAGGAAATCCCACTGCATAGACCTTAAAAATATATCTAGAACCTGTCTTCTCCTCAGCCCCTCACTGCTCTCTCCCTGGCCCAAGCCCCCCAACCTCTCCCCTGCATGAGCTTTCTAGCAGGGGGCCTGCTTATCCCTTCTTGCCTTTAGCCTATTCTGAGCACAGCAGTCAGATGTATCCTTTTACAACCTGGTGAGGCCCTGTGACATCTCGTTTAAAATCATCTGATCAACCCCTCCATCTCACTCAGGAAAAACTCAAGCCCTCAGAGCCCAGCCCTGCTGAACTGGGTCCTACATGAAAGGGCCCTGCTAATTCTGACCCCACCCCTTATTACTTTACCCTGTGTTCACTCTGTTCCAGCCACACAGCCTCTTTGCTGGCCTGCCAGGTGGCCAGGCCCACTCCTGCCTCTTTTTGTTCCTTTGTCTAGAATGCTCTCTCCCCTAGATATGTGCTTGGCTCTCTTTCCCTCCTCTATGTCCTTGATCAAATGTCAGCTTCTCAAAGAAGCCTTCCCTGACTGCCCTCTTAAGCACTGCAAATCCCAAATCCCTACAGCTGTCCTGCCCACTGCCAGCCATTTCTTGCCAGGCTACTGTAATGAAACACCACGCAAAATAATATTTTCCTTCTTTTGTTTGATGATCCTTGCCAAGGACCTGAAAATGATTACTCTACATAATATATACTTAGAAGGAAAAAAATTCCTGAAAACAAAACCATTTGATTCAATTGTTTCCTAAAATGATGGATACTTTGGTGGTAAGAGCCAATAAATTCTCCTTTCGGGTGTAAGCTAGTTGGAGTTGGGTTCTGTCACTTAAGATTAAAAGGATCAAGATTAATACATTGATTTATGCTGGTCTACAAAATTTTAAGAATAAAAGCGAATAATTCAAATGGCCTTTGTTTGAATTTATGTCTCCTAAAAAATTGATCTTAAAATATTTGTAATCCATTTACCCAATGGTCACACTTCTGGCAACTTTTCCTGAAAGAAACCATCTTACAAGGAGATAAAGGCCAATGCATGGAGAAGCTCATTTGACACATCATCCAAAATGGTTAAATATTAGACATAAATGAAATAGCACTGGAGTAGATATTTTCTAAAGGTAGTCTGAAGACCCCTAGGAACCCCTGAGAACATTTTTGGGGGTTTGCAAGGAGATAACCATTTTTCTTATAACAGTAAGATATCATGTACTTTTCTCATTGGCTTGACATCTGCATAGATACATAGAAGTCACGGTGGGTAAGACGGCTGGGGTCTTAGCACAAATCATGGCAGTGACACCAAAATGCACCCGTCATCATTGTGGTGCTTACCACCACACAGTGCTAATTGTTTTTTAAACCAGTTTCATTTAAGGACACTTGACAAAGCCATGAAAATAAAAATTTTAAGTGTTTTACTTAAAGTGTAAGTTTTTTATATTGAGTTCATGTCATTTTCAGTGTTCTCTGCTCCGTGTAGCAAAATGGGAAGAACACACAAAGCACTTCAGCCTGCTGCGCGGGATGGTTGTCTGGAAGCAAAGTACTTGTGCATTTGTTTGAATTACAAGCTCAACGAGTCACTCTTTTCATGGAATTCTGTTGTTTCCTCAAAGAATGGCTACCTAAAAGCTATAGTTACTCAGGCTTGTGCAACTAGCAGGCATTGTCCTAGGGGGAAAAAAAGATATAGCCTGCCTCTCCTATGATCACAACTGACTGTATTTGTTGCAAATAATGAAATTCAAACTTTCAAGCAAAAAAGTAGAATTTTGGGGGCGCCTGGGTGGCTCAGTTGGTTGAGCGACTGCCTTTGGCTCAGGTCATGATCCTGGAGTCCCGCGATCGAGTCCTGCATCGGGCTCCCTGCTCAGCAGGGAGTCTGCTTCTCCCTCTGACCCTCCCCCGTCTCATGTGCTCTCTCTCTCTCAAATAAATAAATAAATCTCA